GCCGCGTTAACCAATCAGGAGCCTAGCTGCATCCTCACGTGGTGAAGTATCTGGATGCTTCAATAAATTATTTTGTAATATGACTAAATGCCTGGTGTGGTTCTAATGCACAACAAAGCAAATATTGTCACTTAAAACTTTATTTCAATATACGAGGCATGTTCATTTTGTATTGAATGTTATTTATTACATATCTAGATTATATGAAATAATATTATGATGTAAAGACAACCAACATACATGTGCATAAGTTTGTGTCTGGACGTGAGAGAGAAAAATTCAGAGGACAGGTTAATAACTTTTTGAGGCTTGCTTTATCATCAAAACAAAAATAAATGACAGATTAGATGGATGAGGTCGAGGGTGATCAAACAGGTCATCAAACTGGTGGTGGGACAGACGGAAGTACCGCTGACAGCGGCGCAGCCCCTGGAGCGATCAAATGGTGAAACTCGCCAAACTTTTCGCCTCCGAAGGGTCCGGTAGACACAAATACGGCGACGATGATCCCCACGCTGCTCTCCAAAGCAAATACAGAGCGGTGACTCTCTCGATGAATGCTCGATCAACATAAAAAAATAACCACCAATGGATTTTGATACCATTGAAGTGTGACGCACGTAAATTTCGCTTCAAAGTTTGGTTTTATACACGCATCAATTTTGCTCTTGACGCACGAATGGATTCAAAGTGTTCAAGCGTATAACTAGACACGGTAGGTGTGAATTTGACGCACTATTCGCGTCTGGTGTGAATGCACAGTTAGGCTTCTTCTCATTATGAGAATCTTCCTGTGAGGCGGTGTTGTCAAGCCGTTAGGCTACCTTTGAGGCTCTTTGGCAACTGCTTTTATAGAAACTGCTCCTCAGTGCTCCGCCTGGGGCAGCATCGAGTTGTTAGGCATTGTTGCCTCCTTGATAAGAGCTTGTACAGGGTAACAATGCTTGAGCCTCATCGGCTGTTCTTTTGCTAAAGTGTTGCTTGGCCTCTGCTCCCCAGGAGCTCCACTACAAAAAAAATAGCTCTTTTGCAATTCCGAGTTTTAGGGTCTCTTTGAGCCTCCTTGGAGCTGCCCTCTCCTGAAGACAACAATTGAATGACGTATTTCACAGGTGCCCTTTTATACTCATGCTTGCACGAGCAGTGATATCATAGGCTGCCGCCTGCCCATGTCAAGTTCATTGTCATGTTTAGACTTACGCTTCAGACAATGGTCACGCCAGAGGCATTCCCCATAGTGCTCTCTAGAGGACGCAGCATCTCGTTCACCTTCTCAGGGAACCATGCTTGCATAACCTGAGACGTTTTGGTTATTGTGTATGTAATACCCTGTGAAGAAGATAAGCAAGTAAGCAGATTAAAATAAGCAAAGGATTTTTCTTATTTTGTAAAGGATTAGTAAACTCAACTAATCAGGTTGTATTAGCTATGGCAAACTGACTACGGATATTTTAAGATGACACACACTTTAATCCACAGCTGTGCTTGGGTCTCAGAAACAATTGAAACAAACAAAACCTAAAGTTCACTGCAAAAATTGTATACATTTGCGTCTCTTTTTCTCATTTCATGCAACCTTGCAACATTGTGCAACATAATTATTTGTGTTGATTAGCCCTCGGAAGCTATCATACTGCAGTTATACTGTTTGAAAGCATTTTAATTAAAAATCACCAATACTGTTGATTTTACAGGCACTTTTTTAAAGCAGTGGCAACTGGTGCTTTTCAATTTTGGAACAGCTAATAATGATTTTAAATTAACCTAATCATAATTTTTTTAAAAGTTCTTATTAATTATTGGCCACTTGTTGCAAGTTCAATTCAAGAGCACCTTTAAGCACTAAATAAATAATTGGGGCTTCCATGCAGAACAAAATAAAATGATTTAAAGCTCAACGTTCAATGAAAAATGATCAATTATCATCAACATGTCATTTGCAAAAATAGCTCAGAAGTAAACTATAGTACGATAAATGGGAGACCACAGCAAAAAATAATTTCCATTTGCTAAAACACCCAAAGAAGAAAATCCATTATTGCATTTTCATGACTTTCCAAAAGACCCATTTCACAATCCAAATATTTGTCCAAAGTAAATGAGAGGGGTATTACTGAAGATTACACCATCTAGTTTTATGAAAACTGTCAGCGTCCTGGTATAGCGGTACACGTTATTATTGTATTTTTTTCTCCATTGTATATTTTAGTAATCATTATAAATTAGTTTTAACACTCAAAAATTAATTTTGTGAAGACAGTACTTTTAAATTTGAACTTAAAATTTGGAACACAACTTAGACATCCGCTCATTGGACACTTCAGAACTGCCTTCTTCATGGCATAGATTCAACAAGGTGCTGGAAACCTTCCTCAGAGATTTTGGTCCATATTGACATGATAGCATCACACAGTTGCTACAGATTTGTTGGCTACACATCCATGATGTGAATCTCCCATTCCACCACATCCCAGAGCTGCACAATGGGATTGAGATCTGGTGACTGTTTTAAGAATAGTGAGTTACTCATTGTCATGTTCAAGAAACCAGCTTGAGAAGATTTGAGCTTTGTGACATGGTATACTATCATGCTGGAGTAGGAAACCGTATCATGGACAACACACATATGGGATTACAGAAGGTGAATCATATCATATGGGCATCTAGCCCAGTACAAGGGCTGACCGGTCGGGCATACACACAAGTACACACAAGTACTGGGCCTGGTGTCAGATGCCTCCGGAGCGTCATACTGCCAAAGGATGCTGGAGGAACCCAATTCAGGGTTTCACTATAAGACTTGCCACTGCTGCATTGTGGGTTTCCATTTACTCAAAACAGCTCACTTTATTTAAAGGGCACCTATTATGGAAAATTCACTTTTACATGGTGTTTGAACATAAATGTGTGTTGGCAGTGTGTGAGCAAAACCACCCTAGAATGATAAAAATCCACCCAGTGGTTTTTTTACAATCTCAATAAATCATCTGCACTGTCTCAGAACGAGCTGTTCTGAGATTCAGTTTTTTGTGACGTAGAAAGGGAGACAGGGGTTTGATTGACAGTGTGGTTGTGGCCTTGACCCCGCCCTCGGTGATCTGTACACATCATCCTCCATTGTTTCAACGACAGCCGGTAATGTCTCTTGGAAACATAACTTAAGTGTTCTGTCGTGGACTCGTGGGTTAATCCTGTTGTTGTGGCTTAAAAGTTAATCCTCAAGTGTGGATCGTCATCTACTGTTTGCGATCCAATTCAATAACAAATGCGTCTAAAGTTGTTGTCGTTGTAGGATGTCTGTGTATATAATTTAAACCTTGTTTGTATAGTGTGTAACCACACGTTTATAAATATATATATTTTTAAAGATATTGTATTAAAAACCGCATATATGTTCTTGTTCTGTAAGTTAGCCATCTTCTCACATTTGCCACAGAAGCACCTGTATGACAAGTAAACATGACGCCACAGGTCCCTTGCATAAATGTAATTTCGCTTGTAAGTTATGTAGCAAACTTTATCACAGAATGTGTATGTAACGTTAGTTTAAAAAAAAATGCGCCAGCGTTAGTGTTTGTGTGTGTGTGTGTGTTGCTCCACCATACTTGCAAAGAGGACGCGATTACAACGCTAAAGTACATAAATTTATCAAATAACCATACCGAGACGTACTGGTCCATTCTCATTTGTGTTTATTCTGCCGGAGTCTCTACGATTCAAACGTACGCTGAATGACAGACAAAACAGCGCGTCTCTCACTCTCCCCTTCTGCTTACCGACTGCCATAGGTATCAAGTTACGCCCTCATCCAAAGGCAGGGCGGGGATATGCAGCTCATTTGCATTAAAGTGGCATGCCTCAAAACAGCTCATTTTCAAACAGGCCCCAAAATTTCAATTTCATTTGACATTTTCAAATGGTTATAATAAATTAACTGTGGGGTATTTTGAGCTGAAACTTCACAAATACATTCTGGGGACAACCGAGACCAATATTACATCTTGTAAAAAGGGGCATAATAGGTGCCCTTTAAAGGAGAACTCCAGCGCAAAATGAACTTTTGGTCTAATTATACATTGGTATCGACCATTCTCTGAGATTTGTTTTTTATGATAATTTAATGTAACGAGTTTTATGTTTAGGGTCCCACTTTATTTTAAGTGGCTTTAAGTACTATGTACTTACATTGAACAATAAGTACAATGTATTATTGTGTTCCTGTTGTATTCTAAAACACTTTTGCTGCTACTGAGGTGTGATCTTGGTAAGGTTAGGGACAGGTGTGGTGGTATGGGTCGGTTTAAGGGTAGGTTAAGGTGTGAGGGGAGGGTCAACTGTGTAAATACACATGTAATTACATAAATTAATTGTAGCTGTAATTACATGCTGGAATTTTAAAATGTAAGTACAATGTAAAAACATGTATGTACACAATAAGTCCATTGTATCAAATCATTAATTTCAATGTAATTAACTAGTACTTAAAGCCACTTAATATAAAGTGGGACCCTGTTTAGCGTATACTCTAGTATATGGGGGCATGTAATTAGTAAAAAGAAATTGCTAGTTAACCCACTAACAAGGCTCAAAATAGCCCAACACTAACACAGTAACATAATGAGGGTCCCTGCATGCAAAACAAAGCATTGAGAACTTTGTAAGTGTACAGACCGTTTAATAAGAAGATATTTTATAAAGACAGTGCACTTCGTGTATACAGGCAGCGCCATCTTTGGAAAACAGTCTCGACAAGTCGAACCACGAACGACGTGCCAAGTAAGATGAACTGTTTGAAGTTCAGATAAGTTCTGAACTGTATGAACGGCATTCGTGGTTCGAATTGTCGAGACTGTTTTCCAAAGATGACCAATGACCCCCCCCCCCCCAAAAAAAAAAGTCGATGCATTACTTTTGACAGCCCTAGTTAAAACTCAATTACATATTATAGTAATATAATAGTAAATTCTGAAAAATTGAAAAAATTGTTCTCTGGAGATTACCTGTGGTAGAACGCAGCTCCTGTCAGCACCATGGAGTATTCGTTGGTCCATTTAGAGGTATAACCCCACCTCCCCTTCCCACTGTCCCAGTAATGGCTGCGTGCTGGGTAGCCCACAATACGATCTGGAAAACTTTGCCATACAATGAAGGCAAAATCCACCTGCAAACACAGAGAGGTGCGCAATTTAGATTAAAAAAGTTCTGAATTAAACTACAGTAAATAAAGAAGTTTCATTTTTGCTTTTCCTTTAAGAACGAAGACATCATGTTCCTGACGATTATCTCTTCAGACGTAAGATAAAAACAAAGTGAACACACTGCTTAAGAAACTCATCAGAGGAGATTAAAGAAGTAGAATTAACAAAAGCAACATTTGCTCTCTTGATCGAGTCTTAAAAGAATTGTCACAGGCAAACTTCCAATGAGATAAATGGATCAAAAGAGCCAATGCGTGTTAAAAGAGAACAAGCCTTTTCTAACTCATCTCTTTATTCATAGCCTTGGATTTTTTAATGCCTTCAGACATGCTTCGATGTCAACACAACTAACTTGTCTGCGTGCAGGGGATGAAAGCCGTTCTTGCTCTGTCAAAGTCAGCGTGTGCACATATTAAAAAATGAACCCTCAAATCAGAGGAAAAGGTTGCGAACGTCCCCCTTAATGTTACAATAGATTAATCGCTGCATTAGTCGTAGACTCAGAGCTAGATTTATGACATCATGCAAATAATGTGGCCGTAAGGAATTACGGCTTTAAGGCGCACCATTTTAGCAATGCAGTGGGGGTGACACACTGAAATTTGCTGCATTTATTATGTGTACCGGACCTTGATTATGGATCTGAGTGAGTGGGAAAGATGAATGGCAGATAGAATCACGCTGCTTTTTTCAAGAAGAAAGTCACTCTATTATAATGAATGTAACTAATTGTCTAAAATTTGTGCCAAAACTTTGGGCAAAAAAGGTCAATACTGAAATTATTCGTGCAGATGCTGTTACTATGATGTACTGTAACATACCCAGCGCCCCATGTAAGTGCAAGGAGGTAGTCCTCCATACCGAAGGGGGTGGAAGGGATGGTCGAAGCTGCTCTTCCTACCCCAGGCATGAGTGCATTGGAACTCAATTCCCATTGTTTTTCAGCCATGACCATAATGCTGGGGAAGCGTGCCTAATCCCAAAAGAGGGGACCACACTACACCTCACCAGGCCCAAAGAGAGGTAACATGTGGAGGTTACACATAGGGGCTGACCCGTGGGGCAGTGCTACATATGGAAGATCTCTGCAGTAGGTCCTACCTAGCCAGGGAGGGCTACTACTGGTGTAGAGATTGGGAAGAGCAGAACCAAACAAGGAAAGACATGGGTTTATTATCAGGGGAACACCAAGGTGATGTAATCCACTATCCAGTTGGCCAACTTGTGTTTTGGCTTTGACTTGTCTTCTCATGGCCGACCAAGGACTGAATTGGTGACAGCTCGGTGTGATAACCTCATTTGCATCAATCTGAGCTCCGTGATCGCGGCTGCGGATGCCATATGCCACAGGAGCATCTAAAATAGTTTTAGTGGAACTGCTGTCTTCCGCCTGAAAGTATTCAGGCAGTTCAGCCCCGACTGTGCATGCTCGTTGGTGAAACATGCTGTCATACTGGCCGAGTCCCTCACCACACTGAGAAAAGAGATCATTTGCACAGGGGAGAGTTTGCTCTTTTCCCAGTTGACCCAAAAACTCAATTGGCTGAGGGGCCTGACCACCAGGTTCCTGTATTTGCATAACTGATCCCACGACTGGGCCAGAATGAGCAAGTCTTCGAGATAGTTGCGAATGCCTACCTCCCTGACTGGGGCAAGGGCAGCCTCCGCAACCTTGTTAAAGACATGGGGAGATAGAGACAACTAAAAGGGTAGGACCTTGTACTGATATGCTTGACCCTCGAACACAAAGTGTAGAAACGGTCTGTGTCGAGGAAGAATCAAGACAAGGAAGTACACGTCCTTCACGCTGCAAACCAATCCTGGGAACGAATCCACCTGAGATCTGTGTGAGCATCTTGAACGGGAGCCTGTGAAGGGCCCGATTTAAGACACGCAGTTTAAAGGAGCAATGTGTGACTTTTAGCGACATCTAGTGGTTCGGTTGCGAGTTTGCACCAGGTTTGCACTAAGGGCTCAGCCCACTGCTCACCCCTCCCTTTCGAAGAAGCTACGGTTGCTAAAACGGGACAAACATCTCGTCGGCTGAGACAGCAGAGAATAGCCAGAGTAAGCCAAGAGTGTGTAACATTGTCACTGTTTCTGTACCACAGTCCATTATAAACCACATCATGAATACTGTTTACAAAGCCATAGTCAGGTGAGGATCAAGGGTTTTAATATATAATTTAATAAAATAATATTAATCAGCTGATTGTCTCACAAACGTAACCAGCAGCACATTTATCCCCACATACTGTAGCAAACCCATAATACAGCGAGGGAGCAGCTATATATTTTTTCTAACAGGGTAGTAATAGTTTAGCTGGCTAATATGAGCTGTTGCTGTTGCTGTGGCTGAGCTGGGACTCGTCCGCATGAGTCCAAAGGTCGGAACTGCGCGCGCTGTTACAATCATGTCATCTCCGCATCCCATAGATACTATTTACTACACACAATAGGCTTTTTTTCTCTGATTTTGAAAAATCTTCGCGTCGACTTTAGTGATAAAAGACTTTAGCAAAAGTCTCTATCGACGGGTTAGTGATTCCTGTAACGTACTGTTTTACGGTCAATGACATGAATACTAATCATCAGCTGTCTCACGAACGTAACAGCACATCTATCCCCAACATAACAAACCCATAACACAGCGAGGGAGAACTAAGTTACATGAAACAATCCCAACTACATATTTTACACCACTCACAAGGGAAAAGTCACTACTCACGGAGTGTAAGGCTAGCTTCCAGCTTTCCGCTACTTCTCTTTCAAGGTAGTGATGAAACGCGTTCTGTAGCACTGTGTGTTCGCGTTCGGCTACGGTAGGAATATGACGTCACAACATGGCGACCTTCATAGAAGGGGATTCCCGCGGTTATGGAGCTATTAATGTCTCATTCTAAGGTAATAAAAACATTACGGTTAATTAAGTAAGTTCTTTATACACCACTGAAAACATAGTTATGGATGTCATATTGCATTTCTGTTAATAGATACTCAACTTTGTTACACATTGCACCTTTAAAGATTAGCCATTACCCCCCGCCTTTCTTGGGTACGATTAAGTACAGACTATAAAATCCTGACTTTATCTTGCCAGGAGGACTGCAATATCCGCTCGCATAAACAGGATGCTATATGTATATATGGATCCTGAACCTGGGGGGATGCCTGGTGAACTAAATCGCATAGCCAAGTCTGATTGTGCGAATGAGCCAACGAAAGGACTGGGAAGCACTAGCCAAGCTCCCAAGCTCCGTATGAGTGGTACCAAAGGGCCGGGTGATGTATCTTCCATTCAGTTTTGTTTCTGTTCAGCCGAGCAGGTGAATAGGCTGGGGGCCAGCCCGTGGCGTCTTGGTGGCAGAGTCACCTCGGGGTAGGATGTGCTTTATGGCCGCCATCTGCCCATGGACTGCCAAGAAGTGTTGGGCAAAGTCCTCGACAGTGTCGCTGAAGAGGAAAGCGAAATTTTGTCACCGTCCTTCATCGCAGGAGGGTCCAATCATAGTTGACGTTCCTGGACCACCTGAGTGGATATCGTCAGGCCGAGGGTCCGGCTTGCAAATCTCACTGGCCAATGTTCATTGGCTCATTTTGTTACAACTTGGAAGTGATTAGGCTCCCAGGCGAGACCCCATGACGTCAGTTCGATGCAACGTTGAAAGTGACTGACTGGATGGGAACTAGCTTTCTAAGCTACAATCTACTCATAATCGTGATAAAACAGTTGCAACAGATCTTTTCTTTCATATTGTTACGTACAATCAAATGAAACATTGTCGAAAAAGAAAAAAGGTATGGAGGGGAATTGGTTCAATCCATCGGTTGTTGATTGGATGGAGGCGGATCTGAATGAAAGTCAATTCTATAAAAGAGGTGGAGTGAGTGATTAGTTACAGGAATTTTGTGGCACAGGCGATTGACTTAAAAAAAATCGCCAAAACTTGAGTTCCCACAAGCAAAATTGGGGATCCAATAGAGATGAATTGAATGCTAACATTTGTGGCAAGGGCACATACAGTCAGATGTGCAATAAAGACAAAATGGCAAAACAAACATAGAATAAATGAAGACACAAGTTCACCTGCGGAAATAAGCACACACTAGATTAATGCTGTAATTTATATTACTCTGTCATTGTACTATAACAATTATTACCCTTTCTGGTCAATTCTTCAGGCCATTAACTGCAGCACAGACATCATAACCCAATGGGCTCTGCTTTGCCGCTGTTACACCACACATGTACCTACAGTCTAATGATGCTTGACGCACAAGAAAAACTCAACCCCTATATTACATTTCCCATTTTAATAAGCTAGTTAATGAGTCGAAACAATGCAATTATCAATTCCGTGGAGCCATAGCGCTGCACAGTCTTAAAAAAAATTAAACTGCTACTGTTAAATATGCCATATTCTCACAATCTCAGCACTATTCAATTAAAACCCTCTCAAATGCTTAAAGGGCAATTACTGGGGCAGATTACTGTGCGAAATGAGTAGAAGCTTCTTTCCAAATGTTGCTGGATTTGTCTAAAGCCACAAGAGATTCCTCACTGAAACTGAGACTCGTTAAACTTTTGTAATACGGGTTCTGTAATCTTGTACCACTATAAAAGTTAAGTGGAAATTCTGGCCAGTCAGAGGTAAAGATGTACTAGCTGTAGTTAATAAAACATCCGTTTGTTGCTTCGAGCTTCGTCACACGTAATGAACCTGAGAAATTAGAAGCTTTCTACATCTGATTGTGATTGGATGAATACTCCCAACTTGTAACACTGAAATGGAATAATACCTTACATCGTACTTAATAAAAGTGCAGTAAATGTACACTGTCTAATTTTTTTTCCCCACTATTATAGCATTTATATATCCAAAGCTTGTAAGTTGTGCCACTCAGTATAATAGTGTTAGTTGGCTTTGCATTCAAATGTAGGAAATTCATTCATATAAACATGGTACAACTTACCCCACAGCTTCTTTGGCACATCATATACTTGTATAATAATTCATTACTAACCTTTACTTATGAGTAATGGTTTTATAGATTTGCAATTTACCAACATAATTAAACATGTACACATAGAAATTTATCTATGACCTAATTTTAATCTTAAGCTTTGACATAATTTACAGTTGTATAAATATAAATAATTTATATCTTTCTCTCCTTAAACTTCCCCCTGGAATTAAGATAGTGTCAGAGAGTCGTGATTTTGCTAACTTCTACTGTTGGCTGTTTCAACATAATAAAATTTGCACCATCAGAGGATCAACACAATCTTTCAAGATCCAACTGCAATATACATTCCCTAACAAGATTAATTCCCACATTGTTTTTCTCCAATCCCTGCCTAGGAATTTACAAACAAGCTATTCCCATAGACCCTGCCAGGAAACCTGGCCAAAAAAATGTGTTTTGTTTTGTTTTTAACCAGAAAATGCACTCAACCCTGTAAACTGCAAAGGGAGAATTATCCTTGCTTTGCCAACGCATCCTTTGTGGCCGCTGGATCAGCTCAGCCTTAATCAAACTTAGACATACGACACTCTAATCATCACAGCACCCTGTCTGTCTGAGAATAAATACATCCCAGAATACTTCACATTGCCTGAAACATCTTTGCCAGATGGTGCAGCCATGTTTTGTGAATTGGCACTGCAGCCAGACTGATTTACATATCACAGCTCGAGGAATGATAGTTGTTAACTACACATTTATAATCCTTTTAAATAATAATCACTCCAGATTTGGCCAATTTGCTGGGAAAACTGTAATATCATTCAGGTCTTTGAAACATTTAACTATTCTGTAACACTTTATTTCTATGTGGACATATAGATAAACAACTTTGCCACTACATGTCAACAAACTCATCAACAAACTTATCACCTATAAAAATGATTCTGTGGTGAAGTAATTACTACAGAAAAGCAAATGTAATTTCAAACCTTAAACCTGAAACCAGGATACATACCAACATCTTTTTGTAAGTTTGGACATCAGAGTAGAGATGGCCTCTTTCTCTCTCTTTCTCTTTTCTTTGTCTAGCACATATTTTTGTCTGATTAAATTATACAGCTGAGAGAAATTAAAAAATGAGCCCAGCAGGCTGCTGATGCTGCAGTGTGCAAATATCATCTCTTCTCTCAGGGAAAATGAAGACAGAGAATTGACATTAACAAAGTGCAGTACAAACACAAAATATGCCAGCAATGGACAATACATGCAGCATCACAAATACCAATGAACAAAAGAGAATATAATGAGGTGAGGGAAAAAAAGACAGGACAGAGGAAGTAAACTGATGCTACGTTTACACAAGTGCATTTTTGTTTTAAAACCCATAACATTTGCTACGGTTATGCCTGCCATGTAAAACTTAATACATTTTTTTAATCTATAAAATTACAAGCAATACTATTAATTAAATTGAACAAATTAGAATTGAGTATTAATTAATCAAACTATTCCTTAAAAGTTAACCATTTAAAATAAGTAAAGTTTACACCAAAAAAATCTAACAAAAATGTCTGAATAGACAGACATCAACGATTAATTAAGAACTCTTTATATTGCCAACATTGAAGACACCTGACCCTTAACAAGCAGAATCACTGAAGGAGAAAACCGTCATTTTAAAACAAACCTAAAACAAACACTGATCACCACAATGGTGACTTAAATGTACATTTTTCTTTTGACTCATTTACGAACGTTTTACTCATTTTTAAATGGTTAACTTTTAAGGAATTAATTTGATTAATTATTACTCAATTCTAAAGTGTTAAATTGAATTAGTAATATTGCTTTTTTTATTAGATAAAGCGCATTCATTTTTACAATGGCATCCACACTTCACTGGAGTTTTCAACCCTTAGAAACCGAGACTTTTAGAAACGCTGTAGACCTCGTTTTAGTTCGAAAACTCAGTTACGTTTCAGACGGAACAAAACGGAGACTTCTGGATCATTGCGTATCCTTCCCTGATTCGTCAAGCCCTTATCATATGACCATTACCAAAGTAAAGTCGTTTCACTCGGCGGCCATGTTTGAAACGCCTCTCGGACATGCAAGTGCAGCTCTAATGTTTCTGAAGGGGGAAACATCAAATTCTACAAAACTGTTCACCAAGCTTACGATTAAATTTCATATATGAAATCACCAATGAAATTCGACAACAACTGTCTCATAAATTTTGCTTATAATTGCTTGAATCATGACAGAAAACGACATTTTCCAGGCTGGATCAAACTGATGCACATGCAGAAACACACCTGACAGTTTATATAGTAACTGGAGCTTCTAACGGCAGCTGCACTGACGCGGTTACTTTAACAATCGGTGATTGGCTCTTATTTAGAAGGCGGTACTTATTTAGAAGCCGCCATATTGAGAGTTGCACTTATCCCCATTTAAAACAATGCGAGTTCCACATCTTGTGTTATTCTATAGTCTTTGCCATTACAGCCCATTCTCACCCCCAAGGCGTGACCTAACTGACCAACACTATCTCACGACCAATTCGTACAAATTTGACGCATGATTAAAAAGTGGCTAATTCATACTAATTCGTACGACCTCACTCGTACTAATTCGTACGATTTGTCTAAACCCACGTGATGGTTAGGTTTAGGGGCGGGGTAAGGGGTAGGTCATTCGTATGAATTCATACGAATTGGCCAATTCGTAAAATATGTACGATTTAGCAAAATCGTATTAATTCGTACGAGTGAGGTCGTATGAATTGTTACGAATTAGCCACTTTTTAATCATTCGTTGAATTCGTACGACTTGGTCGTGAGATCGGGTTGAACTGACGCCTTGGGAAGCATTTTGACCATGCTTCAATATCTGACGCTTTAGGCGCCATTTAGCATCAGTTAGATGATGCCTTAGGATCACGTGTAACCCTACCCCTACCCCAGACCTAAACCTACCCGTGTCATCTAACTGACGCTTTTCCTTTAGCGTCAGTTAGATAACGCCGTAGGATCGCGCCTAAAGCGTCAAATATTGATGCATGGTCAAAAGGTGACGCCTTGGGCTGAGAATGCGTTGGCCATTACACTCCAGAAAGAAACGACAATAACAGACCAGCCTCGGCAACCGCATAAACAATAACATGGACACGGAACTGCAAGCTTTGATGTATGTAATGTAATTCGATACGTACGACTGATTCCAAAATGCGCCAGAGACAGTTGAGTACTAGAGTAATCGACAACTGTTTACATTATGATATCTGTATGTGCATGCCTAAGTGTGCATAAATGGTCATGAGACATGCAATTTGGTCGTGTCATGTGGACAGAGATCTTTTCTGAAACGAGGTGTAAACACTGTGACAAAACAAAAACGCACTAGTGTGGACATAGCCTAAGAGAGTGAATGTTTGTGTTTGAGAGAGAAAGAGACCATGAAGCCATTAGTTTGGCAACCAGCTTAAACTCCATTGAAATAAGTACTGTTGACTTTGCAATTTATGAGAGAAGTGCTATTTCAAAATGATAATTATAATTCAATTCTATTTATATTTCAATCATAATGTCAATTTTGTCATTTTGATTCTGAATGACAGAACCATGAAGACCATATGATATTCCTTAACATTTCACTTAACCTTTATTGTAATGAATGAATGTGTGATTTCTCACCTCATTGGTGGACAGAACCGAGTCCTCGTCCAGGCTGAGAACTGCATCAGTTTTGATAGCTTGATGAGGGAAAAAACGGCCACTCATCGTCTGATGGGAAACAGAAAGTGACATTAGTGATTCATAGATTTTCACCACAGGTTCTGGTTGAAATGATTTAATTTACACAATCTTTGCAGTACTTTTTTGTTTTTTACACTGTTTAATACTGTATTTATTAATAGAACTTTTCTTTGGCATCCTTGTCAATCATCGCCTACATCGCCTGTGACATCTGTTTGTGTCTTATCTGTTCATCAAGTGAACGTCAGAATAGCTGAACATCTGCCAAGACAATATGTTAATTTACACCTTGCGACTGGAAAAAGGACATTAAAATAATTAAAGTGTGTAGTGAAACTTTTATGTCATTTGAAGTTATTTATCATCCACTTTAATAGTGCATTGCTGAATTTACTGTAACATGGACACGTGTCTGTATACCAGAGTCAATATTTGAGTCTCAGGGAGACAATTTAGCGTGCCATTTGGCTCAAGAAATAACTATTTATTTTCTGCCCAATTCTAGGGTTATACTTTATTTTGATGGTTCACTTGAGACATTCTGTTGACTTTAAATAACAGTACATCTACATGTCAATTAACTAAGTTTTAGCTGAGAATTAATAGACTGTTAGGGATAGGGTTGGTGGAATAAGTTGGGGAACATAAAAATAAAGTGTTAGCATATATTAATCTGCAGGCTTAATCTGATGACTGTTGACACACACTCACCTAAAGAATAATTAGGAACACCATACTAATACTGTGTTTGCCCCCCTTTCGCCTTCAGAACTGCCTTAATTCTACATGGCATTGATTTAACAAGGTGCTGAAAGCATTCTTTAGAAATGTTGGCCCATATTGATAGGATAGCATCTTGCAGTTGATGGAGATTTGTGGGATGCACATCCAGGACACGAAGCTCCCGTTCCACCACATCCCAAAGATGCTCTATTGGGTTGAGATCTGGCGACTGTGGGGGCCATTTTAGTACAGTCAACTCATTGTCATGTTCAAGAAACCAATTTGAAATGATTTGAGCTTTGTGACATGGTGCATTATCCTGCTGGAAGTAGCCATCAGAGGATGGGTAAATGGTGGCCATAAAGGGATGGACATGGTCAGAAACAATGCTCAGGTAGGACGTGGCATTTAAACGATGCCCAATTGGCACTAAGGGGCCTAAAGTGTGCCAAGAAAACATCCCCCACACCATTACACCACCACCACAGCCTGCACAGTGGTAACAAGGCATGATGGATCCATGTTCTCATTCTGTTTACGCCAAATTCTGACTCTACCATCAGAATGTCTCAACAGAAATCCAGACTCATCAGACCAGGCAACATTTTTCCAGTCTTCAACTGTTCAATTTTGGTGAGCACTTATAAATTGTAGCCTCTTTTTCCTATTTGTAGAGGAGATGAGTGGTACCCTGTGGGGTCTTCTGCTGTTGTAGCTCATCCGCCTCAAGGTTGTGCGTGTTGTGGCTTCACAAATGCTTTGCTGCATACCTCGGTTGTAACGAGTGGTTATTTCAGTCAAAGTTGCTCTTCTATCAGCTTGAATCAGTCGGCCCATTCTCCTCTGACCTCTAGCATCAACAAGGCATTTTCACCCATAGGACTGCCGCATACTGGATGTTTTTTTCCCTTTCACACTATTCTTTGTAAACCCTAGAAATGGTTGTACGTGAAAATCCCAGTAACTGAGCAGACTGTAAACTGTCTGAGCAACTGTGGTTTTTTTCATCAAAAACCTTAATTTCTTTTCAACTGAAGAAAGAATGACATGGACATCTTGGATGACATGGGGGTGAGTAAATTATCAGCAACATTTTGTTTTTAAAGTGAACTATTCATTTAAGGGCCGCGTACACAACGCCATTTTCAACTGAAAACAGAAAAGTTTAAATGCGTTCTGGCCTTTAATTTACAAGACAACAATAATCTTGGTGGCCTGAGAATATAAACTTTGAAGTAGATTTCAAAGTGCAGGTTTTTGAATAAGAGTTTTTAAAGCAATACCAATGTCATCTTCGTGCAAACTTCAAAAACGTGAATCTGTGAAAACGGTGACGGCTTGCACATGTGTATTAAGTGTTAAGACTATATGCATGAACATTTGAATGTGTATGTGCACAGGCACTTCCTTGGTGTCTTTACAAAGAAACATTGGAAATTACTTGTCTGGCATCCATAATACAGACAAAAAGTCCATGATGTAATTAGCCATTCATCAATGTCACAGCACTATAAAGTATAATGTCTGCACTCAATAAGTCTATACTCTAGGGAGTGGATTAGCTTTGGATCTTAAAACAAAGTGGGGGATGCATACCAGGGCTGTGCTTCTCAAAAGCATCGTGAGCTAAGTTGATCGTAGAGACCACTGGCGCCAATGGTTCAACGATCTACTTAGGCGTACAATGCTTTTAAAAATAAAGCTCAGAATGATCAAATAATTCCAATATGCTGCATGGACAAGGCCCTGTTTACACCTGGCATGAGTTTTGGTCGTTCGGATGAGGTAGATGGAAGTAGATGAGGGAGACGCATACCCATTTATACTTGGGGTTTTAATCTGTCTCTTTTGTGCACTTTCAACCACTTCTGTCCTGATTTCTTCAAAGCTATGGGGTTTTTCAGATCTTTCAATGTAATGGACGAAATAAGCTCACGCAATATTCATATGAACACACACAACGATGACGGAAACACACACATCCTTCTTCCGGTGAGAGAACATTGTCCTTGGTATGTTTTTCATCTTCAAACCAAACTCAGGTCAGGTGTAAACAGGGTCATACTGACGTTAGCAGAAAAGGAAAGTTGTCTCTGTTGAAGAACAAGTTATTAGTCTTAGTCTGGATCTTGAATCAAATTCTCCAAATAACCAACTGTGAGTCCAGCTGCCTTTAATTAACAGAGCTGTAGAAATGAACATTTAGTAGCTAAAAAATCACTGTTTCCCACAATCGATCCACCACGCCATTAGGATGACTCTGTTTTAATCCATTACAGTAAATGGAGGCTACAGGGGGGTTCAAACCTAATTACACTATTGACTCTTCATTAATTCCATTAATAAAAGTGTTCATGTGAAAAAAGAGTAACTCTACAAGTTCAGGAATGTATTCTCATCAACACAACAATCTCTGAACCACCAGAGGGGCTGATATAGATTCAGAGAAATACAGGGAGTAGAATAAATTGACTGCTGAGTTTGTGTCATTAGTAAAGATTAGTGAAGTGTACACAAGCCAAGTAAATAATTCAAGTGATGTAAATTATATAATAATTTCATGTTATCCAGTAAATATAAAATCCAACGGTAAATCTGTTTTGCTTCTGGTTGTAAAAAATAAGGCAAATACAACATACTTATTGCATTTTTTAGTGTATTTAAAACATACCCTGTCATATAGAATTCCATTGTATGTGCATTGCAACAACAAGAACAACAACAACAACAAAAAAAATAATGTGTGAACCAAGCATATAATATATGCATATCACTGCATTTTTCATTCTGAGTCTTCTCTCATATATGTTCTGGAAAGGACTATGTAGTTATCTGGGAGGCCAGCTGTCTTTGTTGACACATGGCTCCTTCCTCTGATATCACTCCTTTTCCCTCAAGACATGGTTTATTTAACTGTAAAGCTCACATAATCTTCCACAGGGACTGTCTGCCCTTTACGGTTTCCTCGCCTCTTCTCCTGCATTATTTTATTTATATTTTAACACAAATTTAAAGTAAATTTTAACACCAGTTAACGCAGATATGTTTGTGTATTGTTTAGTGTTGTTGCTCTCATTCTTTTCTTTAGTTTAACATTTACGGAGTCATTCATTTCACTATTTTAATTTATGTATTGTGTTAAGAACTCAAACAAGACCGGCAACCAAATGTTTATTGTTTTCAGTTAAACACTTGCATAATATAAATCGTCATACTTACTTACTGGAACATTTTCCCATACCAAACAGACAAAAGCCAGTCACAATAACTGCCACCATTTTTGAATATCTCTTTCCCGCCAATTATGGTATGTGGGGTGGACTGCCACCATTTTTGAATATCTCTTTCCCGCCAATTATGGTATGTGGGGGGGGGGTTAGTGTTATGTTTGATTCTTCTTTAAACATTGTTAAACATTAATATCTCATGTTTATCTCTTTGATACATTGTTAAACATTAATATCAAACATGTTTATCTCTTTGTTACAGTCAAATCTGGTGAGTGTACAAGAAAATACTACTATAGTCTTTTTACTACAAAAATCAAAATGTTGTTACTTGCCATTTCTTTGTAATTATTTGTGAAATATACTTACTATTAATTTTATAATATATATATATATATATATATATATATATATATATATATATATAGTGCTTTTCTCTGTACTCAAAGTGTAATGAGTACAGAGAAAAGGAAATGCATCAATGTTGAAGACATCAGACATGTCTAATAAGGACACACACAAAACATCGCTTAGCATGATTTATAAGCTGTTGTCCTCATGGGGACAAGGATTTCAGATATTGGCATCTTTGCCATCACAATTGGCCTCTGGGATGAACTCTCTCCCTTTCATGACCCTCTTGTGATTGCAGTTCTAGTGGAAACCAAGTGCATGTTTCTCTATTAAGATTTTATCTCAGTGTTGAACAATTCCAATTTATCTTGATCAGGGCTCAGATAAAAGCGTGTTATGATTTGGATGTGGTGTTTGATAGCTTATTAGTCACAATATGATTTCATTTTGACAAATGGCTTTTGATTAAAATTTTGATTATCTATTCCTCACTTGTTTGACACATTAATTCAAAGTCCTTTCAAAGTAACTAACTGAATTGTATTTATTTATGTACATTTCTGATTGAGATACTTTTAAAAACGTTTATATCACCAGTTATATATCAGCAAAGACTAAACTTGGACTAAAATTACGGCAGGTTGTTTTTCTTTTCTTCAGGTATATAGAAAGATATATAACCAACTCTTATGATGTATTACATATTATTTAAAACTTAGGGTTGCACTTTAAGACTGGCCTAGATTAACATGCATTTAGTAATATATTAATATTTACACTGTTAAGGTGCTTACACTGAAAAGCTTACCCAGTACCTGCACACACTACATTTACATTTTGTGTAATGCATTTTCAAATGTAAACTAAACGTAGTAAAATCCATTAATGTAAAATCAAAAAGCTGTTAAAATCTTGATGAATGATACTAAGATCTTCCTGTCATGATGATGATAATTGAAATGTCAGTCTCATAATGAATCTCTTGAGATGATGAATTGTTTTGTTGGGTCATTGACGTGTGCGCACCAGATCTTTTCAGTTCCAATGGAAAGGCAATTTGAAGTGGTCTAGATGACCCTTGAACTTACTCCTCTGGTGTTCTTCTGTCCGACGGGCTGCTTAGTCTACCATAGCCAAACTTTTGACTAACAGCATAATGTCCAATTTGCAGCTTGGATAAATTTTTACAGCCCATTTTAGTAGCAGGAAATCATTTTACTACAATAACAGATATGTGCAGACGTGATTCTCATCATCTTTTATAGATTTGATCCAACTAACCTGGCAAACCTTTGGCAAATGGGTGTGGAAAGAATGGTAGGAGTGTTTAAGAAACCTGTTGATACCTTATATCTAACATTGTTATTTATATCATTCCTGAGGGTTTATTTGTTCTCTACATATATATATTAAATCAATCTCCAAGGTAACAGATGCAGAGATCATGGTTGCTATGGCAGACATGCAGAGCTGATAGAAAGAGGTTTTAGTCAACCTGAATTTCATAATCAGTTTGAAAATGTGTTATTTTTCAGTTTAGATGTTGACCAACAAGCAAAAACATAAAATCTAGAGTCTATGACAAACCACCACACTGTCAGAAAAAAAGGTACGAAAGCGGTCACTGGGGCGGTACCTTTTCAAAAAGGTACACTTTTGTACCTAAAGGGTGCATATTGGTACCATAATTGTACAAATATGTACCATGAAGGTACCAATATGCACCCTTTAGGTACAAAAGTGTTTAATGAAGGTACCAATATGCACCCGTTAGGTACAAAAGTGTACCTTTTGAAAAGGTACCACCCCAGTGACAGCTTTCGTACCTTTTTTTCTGAGAGTGCACGTTTTAGTGTTGCAAAACTACAAAAAGTACAAAAACAAACTGTTACGGTGAGAAATGTTTCACAAATTTATAAGAAGCTGGTGCACTAATAAATATATATGGACAAAAATATTGGGACATGTTTATTCTTGAATTCAGATGTTTCAATCAGACCTGTAGAGTGCCGAAGTTGTGACGTCACTTTGTAGGCCAAAACGTGGAAGTGAGTTAGCATTTTAGCACTTCCGGTTCCCTCGCCCTAAAGTCTATGGGATTTTTGAAAGGGTTTTTGCTAAATCGTCTGAAATAAGGTCTGTGGTGAATAAAACCTCTAAATATTTTCACGTTTTATAACCTGCTTGTGTTTTTTTAAACTTTTTATAGACTTCAAAATGTATACATTTCAAATTAACTTGCAAAGATTATCTTGATAGACAAAACGTTTAAGGGTCACAACTCTTTGTTGAGAACAGATCTTATTTTTTGCGATTTTTTTCCAAAAGTCTATGGGAAAAATGCATAGCTTTCCGATCAAAGGAACCCATGCACCGCTAACTTCCGAGTTGTCCTACACAGTGACGTCATAACTTCTGCACTAATGTAGAAAATCTGTAGAAAATCAAGGAACTAGCCCTGCAATCTGCATTTATAAACATAAAAAACGGTCGCTCTGAAGAGCTCAGTGAATTCAAGCATGGTATTCTGATATGATGCCACCTTTTCAGGAGGTCAGTTCTTGAAATTTCATCCCTGCTAGATATTCCACAGTCAACTGTAATTTGTATTATTGGTAAGTGGAAGCATTTAGGAAAAACCAACGCATTCTCATCCTTTAACGTCATATATAACGCTATATGACAAAACGGCGCTATACTATAACACGTGCTGTGAGGGCTAAGTTTAGGTGTGGGGTAGGGTGTGCGTGTCATATTCACGCTAAAGGATTTATAACGTCTTGGGTTCGCGTGTTATATTAACGATAAAGGGTGCCATGTGCGTAGTATAGCGCCGTTTTTGCATATAGCGTTCTATATGACGTTAAAGGATGAGAACGGGCTGGAAAAACAGCAACTTTAATATCAGCACAAATATTGTGCAGCGGGAGCTTGAATGGGTTTCCATGGCCGAGCAGATGAATGCAAACCTGAAGTCACCAAGTACAATGATAAGCGTCGGCTGGAGTAAAGGCCTCATCATGCTTCTGCGTCAACTCCACGGCGTAGCTACGTCGTCACTGCTACGGCGTCGTGGCCGTTTTATACTTCTGCGTGAGGTTGTGGTGCATCGCGGTGCATTTCGCCGCCAGAATGCTAGGGGGGTTCGCGAATCTCTTTGGTTCCGTGCGCCGCGAGCGAAAGAGAGAGAATGTTGTTTTTGCAGCTGCCAGCTGGAGAGCTAATCGACGTTGAATAACAAGACGACACAAACTTTATCCCCACAGAATCAACACGGATGTCCAGGGCCCGTTCCACCCATAGACAGTAAAATAAAGGGTCCACCCGAGCTGCCATAACGACACCTGTTCGGAATGACTTGAAGGATTTTTTCAGTCTCCACATGGAACTGTGCTATGCAGGATAATGTGTCCCGTGGCAGACTTAATGAATAACTACACAAGAACTAATGAGTAACACAATATTAACAATCTAGTAACTATTATTAACTAAGAAGAAACTCTGATTAACGAACTAGTAAGTAATAGCGCACAGACGAAAGTGGTAGTTCACTATTAAGTAATCAATAACTACTATTTTTTTAATACTTCCCGGAGAACTACTGAAAAAGTTTATTAACAATCTAGTAACTACTATTAACTAAACGAAATTCTTATTACCGAATTAGTAAGTAAAAGCTCACAGATGAAAGTGTTACTAGATACTTCTGTGGGAATTACTAATGGGCTATATGCACGCATTAAGTTCCGCATTTGACGCAAGGATGCTCGTCCATTTCCGGTTGTGGAGATTAAAGCGGAGGAAAACCGGAGAAAATGGGATTATGGCAGAGTCTTCAATATTTACTGTCCTCCCGTCTTTGAAACGAAACGTACATACGTTTAGATGTAATTTTATATATAGTTATGTTTATTTAATTTAATTTTAAAAAGAAGCATAAACACAACGAGGGGTGTCTGTTTTATCTGTTTTTGTGACTAACGTTTCATTAGTATAACCATGGAGTATAAAATTCAATATAAATTCTCGGTAGTGCATTGGACTCTATGATCGGCGGAAGTTATCGAGCATCCTTAATCCTTCACCGGAAATAACGCCGTGCATAGAGCCCATTATTTGGATTCGTATTATAAAGTGAAGATCATTGGAACTAACTAGTAATTACTCAAGTGTTACTACATGATCTAGTCATGATTTGTGCAAACGTTTGAGATTTTTGGTGAACTTTAGTAACTTTTAGAAAATGTCTTTAGTAACACTTGAGTAATTATGCTAATAAATGCCCACAAGTGGGCATTTATTAGCAGCTATATATTTTCAAAGTTGGAATTTTGGAGATTTTTGTAGCTGGATGTACTGTATATCAGAATTGTGGCAGCTTTTGATTCTATTTTATTTTGTGATTTCCCTGGAAAACAGAAATATATACATATTTTGTCACGCTCCTGGCTCTTATTTTGATGTTCTGTTGTGTTTCCCTTATTCCGTGTTTCCCATCTCTTTTTTTTTAGCTTCTGTTTCTTAGGTTTCTGATTATGTCCCTGGCTGTGTTTGAAATCGCCCCCACATTACTCAACTAGTCCGCTTGAAGGAGTGAATGAAATCGAGTGAGCGAATTCGAACACTGAGTGCAACGGATGCTGCTTTTGCATATTTGTGCTTTCTGTTCAATATCATTTAAAACTTAGCAAACTGGCAGCTACAATAGTGCGATGAAAATGTGTATCTTGTATAAACCTTAACCAATTAAAAAGGAATTTATACCTGTATGATATTACATTGTATTGTAGCCATATTAAACCAGTGATTTGGAAAATGGATGGATGGATGATTCAGCTGTGGGATGATTCATTATGGGTATTCTTTAGCCATTGAATGAGTGCACTCAATTACATCCACTAAGGTTTCAGAGACCACTTAAAATGTCCCTGTTTGTTTCTATGGTTAATTATTATCAGGTTTCTTATTTAGTTTAAGTCCTTTTAAACCCAGAAATCTGAATGTGGCCATAGTTGAATAAACACCCAGTGTTTCATGCAGAGTTTAGTTAATCATATAACTTATCACATAAGATATTTTTTTCCTACACACCATTTGAAAACCGTAAACATCTTAATAGTTACAGATAAAACAACTAAGCGATAAGTGAGGAGAAAGAGTGAGCCATCACATCCACTTTGTTCATAGGCGAGCTGTATCTGCAAATTACACATGACAAGAAGATGTAAATGAGTAAAACATGTGCAAAGAGGGAAGACGGTGAGCAGACAAAGTCTGAAAGGTGCAAATGATGAGATACATTCAGAATATTCACATAACCACCCACACACAGCTGTGCAGATATCACACTTACAAACACAATTTCTTCATTTTCGAGATTTTAAATGGTGACATCTGTCCTGTTCTCGGTTATTCTGATTCCTTCCCACCAGTGTGTAACCTCACACACCTATACTTTGAGCACAAACTTTGAGCACAAACTTGTCGCCAGAAGTTAACTGAACTTAACTATTTACACACTTATTTATTATTATTTTATTATTAATTGAATTCCAAAACTGCAAATATTTATAGCTTATACAATTACATCTACATGAAAATCTAATCTTTTTAGGTGTAAATGTGCAACCTGCAATTTCTCTCTTTTTATTTCATCATCTTTCTCGTTTTCTTTCATCTACCTCACCTTTCGCTTGCCCTCGATGATGGAGAAGGGTGTTGTGATGGAGGGCCACTTGTTTCTGGGTGGTGGAGGCTTCTCACAGTTCCACAGCACTAAAATCTGAAACCACATTAAAACACATGACCTGCACTGCACTTTTCAATACACGTGAAAAACATGGCTATTCAATGTTAGGTTAAAAAAAAAAAATTGTAGGTGCAGGTATGAATTATTACAGCCCACATGCAAAAAGTAATTAACATTTCTTAACAAATCCCATACTCATTTATAAGTGCAGAAAATAGGTCCAAGAGCCTCCAAACAAACTGGAAATTATCTAGAGACTTTTCATTTTTAGAAACTGTGTTAATTAAGAACATTTGCAGATAAGGCCTAATGTAAGCCCTTGTAAAAAAAAAGTGCTTGATTGTATTGAATGTGCAATTCCAGTGTATTTCAAATCTTAAAAGAATATTTTCACGCAGTAATGACATTAAAAGCCACTTAAATGTATTTAAAGAAATTTCACTTTCATTATGCTTTTAAGACACTTAACTACTTTCAAAAAGTGCACTTTG